CAAAATACTTGTCTCACTTTCCAAAAATATGTTTGTATCATCTCAGGAAAGTGAGACAAACAAGGATTGGTATTTTTGGGTATTCAAATTCTAAGGCCCCGTTTGGCAGCACCATAAATTCGGGTGTAATATTGCCTGATTAATTCATTAAAAAATAAACCAAAGGGAAATATGTAACAAAAATTTTACTTAGGCAAGTTCAACTACTGGTTTCATTAATGCTGGTAACAAATTTGATATCTTAGGCCATCTTGAGCCCCATAATATCAATATTACACAGTATATGGGTGAAAGGTGTAATATTGGTATTATGGTGCTGAAGGTAGCCCATTATCTCAACCTTGTTCATACTAATCTTGAAATCAGTAGTTGAAATTTCTTCACTAAAAATTTTGTTACATATTTCTGAGTGGTTTATTTTTTATTCAATTAATAAGGCAATATTACACTTAAATTTATGACACTTCCAAACAGGGCCTAAGACAATACAAATGAACACCAGATATTGTCTTGTCTTGCCTCTGTTTTAGTGTTGCTTCAATGGACTCTCTCAAAATCCAGGGTTGGTTTTTTCCAAGATCAACTGTAGTGGCCCCAAGTTCAACCACCTGACATCCACTGAGAAAAATCATCACAGCAGTGTGATTCAATAGGAAGAAAAACCTAATTTCCTATACCTTGATACAGAAATAGAATTCAAAAATATGTAGAGACAGAAAAAAGTCTATGGGAAAATATTTCCTTAGTTTAACTTGGCACTACACATCTTTACCACTGTATCAACAAGCAAAGCATTACAAACAAACCAAAAACTGTTGTTTCTCACAAATTTGGACTATGCTCAATTCCAAGTCACACAGATAAGAAGAAGCTGCAGATGATTTCGCAGAATACAAATAATCTCATGAGGTGAAAGAGACAGTCATACAAACCACAAACAATCTATGTAAAATTTTGAAATTCAATGTGAAATTGGATAAATCTTGCACTAGAATATCAGAAAATGAAATTTGAAAGGATAGTAATCCAGAAACAGACTATGTGAAGTTCAAAGATGTTTACTAGCTATACTATGGATCTTGAAGTTCAAGGCAAAGTTTTACAGAAGGAAAATTTAACACCATTCAGGACCAGAGTGATGATTATAAATGCATCACAACACATTTTAACCCTGAAGATCAAGTTTTATTGGGTTTTGATATCTTAATGAACAATTTTCCATTTAGTCCAACTTGCCCTCCCAGCATACTTACAATACCGGGCTGTGAAGATCATAGCATTTCAGTTTACATTTATCTAGAAAAGTGGTATTCCAAATGTAACCATAACTTTCAAAACATAAATTCATAGATGAATTTTGGCCCAGAAATTCTTACAGAATCTCTGTCAAAAATCATTTTTGAAGTTGTGTTTTTGAATTCATGGTTCAATTTTGAATACCAATGTGAAAAAATACTCACTTTTGTTTTGCACACACTTCCAATTGTTTGAATGTTTTTCTTCAATACATCTTTTTTTCTGCTCCATAAAAAGAAAAAAAGAAGAAAAAAAGTTAGGGGAAATATAACTGAGCTTGTTGATAATTTGTGAAATAAAATTAAATCACTAACACATTCATAGGCAGTGTAGTAAAAACATGATTAATCTGTACCTAATTGGATGAAATGAGTTTCATACCAGATGAAAATTGGAAAATAAAATTATAGCATAAGAATCAGTCAGTTTAGCAAATGTTGTATTTCATCTTTGAGAAAAAGGATTCACCCGGCATGATTTGTAAACCGTGTCAATTCCAAAGTTTGGATCCTGCTTCAAAAGTCCTGTTGACTTGTCTAGAGTGATTTGATCAATGGCACTAATGGGTGAATAATATTTTGTGGTCAGAGGTATAAAGTCATTGATATGTTCATATTTCTTTTAGATGATAAACCACAAACGTTAGACAATCTTCTGTTTTTATGACAGCTTTTATTGTGTTGTTACAGGTTGGTTGGCCAATTGGATTGACACCTAACACGTTTTGTTTAACAACTACTTCAAAGTTTGATGAGTGGCTTGTGCCATCCTAAATGTTTTGAATACAAAACATGGTCAGATACATGGATGCAAAGATCAAAAGTGTAAAATGATCACAAATTACACACATATCCCGGGGTGCAAGTATTCAAGATGTCATTTATGGCATTAATGACATCTACTTGTTTAACACCTCTGAAATTGGGAAAAAATAATCCTATCAGAACTATTGCAATTTGGAAAATTTAGAATCAAAATCTTACTCACTTGACAAAATTTAGAGATGGGTTGCGGGGTATCCGTTGCAGATACCCCGCTATCCCCTGGCGGATACCTCGCCAGCGCCAGTGGATACCCTGCCAGGGATACGGATTGGAGTTTGATGTCCCTTTTCCCCAAAATTGGGCAGGAATCCGGGTAT